AGAAAAGAATTTATAATTTTATTTTTGGTATGTCAGGTGAATCTTTGGGAAACAGAAAGGGTTGGTTCCTTTTTCTGTCAAGAAAAACTTATCTGAATTTTGCCTTGCTTTGTGGAAAGATGAAGTGACCAGTGAATGACTGCTGATGCCGACAGACTTGGCCTGCTGCCTTCTTCAAGGCCCTGCAAGAGCAGGCTTCACAGATTATGTAACTGCAGTTAATGTTATCCACATCCTTAATACAGCTCAGTTCTGATCTAGCAGAGTATAACTACAATGGAAAGCTTAACCCACTAAATTATTTTCTATTCAGTTTCAATTAAATATATTTCCATATTTTTAATATATTTGTTTGGCTATTATTTTTAAACACCTAAATGCACTCAAACTATAATACAGTTATGGTAGCCCACTGGCACTTCATACCTTTAAAGAATGGCAAAATCTAACCTTCCAGAAATTCTGAATTTTGGGACAACATTATTATTATATTTCAGACAACCTTTTAATTTGAATGAATGCAACAATGGATGTCAATGTGAAACACAAAGCCCTCTAAGAACTGAAAGCCTCTGCAGTCCTATGCTTCCCCCTTGCTGCTCCTCTCCTCACTACATTCCCTTCAAGCACTCAAGCTCCTGTATCCCTGGTATGCAGCACAATCATAATTCTGACCATTCTGAATCCCAGCTCCCAGGAACTATATATATATCCAAATTACTTTGTGCTTCCTCTCATTCCTCTGCACCAATATTACAGTTCTTCCTTGCCATCCTACCTCTGCAGGAAACCCAGACACAGTCTTGTGGCACTGAGATGTCTGCAGAGACAGGGAGCAAGATGAAAATTAAATGGATCAGAAGCCACTACAAATCAAAATGGCTTATCAAAACACTTTTGTGTACTGAAGCAGCATCTCCTGCTTTGAAACTGCTCCAGGTCACAGTATTTCTTTTCCAGTTGAATTCACAGTAAAGCAAAATCCCTTTTTATTCATGAGTGATGTCTTGAAAGGAGGTAGAAATCTGTAGTACAAGCCAGGGAATAAGGAAAAGGCTTCCAAATAAAAGTGAAAATGAGAACATCCTGACTTCCCAACCACATTTCTAGAGGATAATTCCTGTTTCATAAGCTCTTGCTCATCTCCTGCTATAGATCCCTCTACAGCATCCAGCCCCAACAGATCTGTGCAGCTAGGGAGACTGTATGACACCTATGGCATGTATGTACCACAGAGAAATGTACCAGTACAACCCAATAGGTGACCAGTGTGCAACACTGGCTCCTGGCAAGATGTAAGATAAAGCCTGGAGCCTACAAGGAGAAAGCCTTAGGTCAACTGAGTACAGTTGTGGTGGTGCCTGATGCATGAGCCACTTCTGTAAACAGCAGAACACACTCACATTCCATGTCTGGCTTTTACCTGTCCCAAAGAAGGCTGGTAAATTGCTGAAATTTAATTCAGTGGAGCAGAAAAACTTTGTAAGGCATCCCTCAAATTTAATGAACATTCCTGGAAACTAAAGGAATGGCCAGAAGGACATTTTAAAGAATGCAATTACATCTGTTTTCACCCAATTCCATAACCAAGGAATATTGTGGAGATTTAAGGGAAAGAAAAGTCAGCGGTTACATAATTTGAGTCCAAATTCAATAAAATCAATTTCATTCAGCCACAATAGCCTACTCCAAACCCAGCAATTAGAGTTTATTTACCACGGATTTGAAAAGAAAGATATGGAAAATTCAAGCCTTTGCATGAGAAGACTTTTCCAGTGATTCATTTTTCTATAGCCTAACTTAGGCTTTCCTATGAGAGAACTGCTTGCAAAAATCCTCTTTTCCCAAAAATAGGAGAAGAAAAACAAATGGGAAATTTATGATGGGAAAATAGGAAATGTAATAGGATGTAAAAACATAAATTAACATTCCTCACCACATCTATGAACATACAAACTGTCATATGCAATTACAGGGAGTGAAATGAACCAGTCCCAAGTGTCTCCCAAATGCTCCTATCATACTGAATCTCTTTACCCAGTTATAATGAACCCTGATGGATGTCTAGAATCACCTTGATCTGTCCTAGCTGTCAGCATCTTTTACAAAATCCTGCTGGATTCATAAATATAAATAAAATACATATGCAATACAAGCAGTTATAACTGATGCTCTCCATCTCTATGGAGACATTTGAGAAACACCAATAATGAACAACAATTTTATGAATATTTTAATACTTGTTAACCCATTTCCAAATGGCAGAAACAAAAAATGAGGATAATTATAAGAACACACACACATAGATACATAAAAAGTTTACCATTTAAATTAATCTACTGAGGAGAAAAAAATACTGTGTGAAGCTATCATTTACAAAATATGAAGATGACCAAAGAATACACACATTTTTATCAAGTGCATTCAATCACATGGATACTATTTTCTATTTGGAAAGTCAAACCACAGACTGCTTTCCTATGCTAACAAAGAGTAACATTTAAGAAAATATTCCCTTTACTAATCTCTAAGATATAAACAATGAGTATCTGATTCAATTTACCTCCCACACCAGACCTGATGAAGCTAATAGTTGGACTTCCATTCAAACTTGTTTTGTGAGAAGTAAAAATAAGGCAGAGATGCCAGACACCAGTAACTACAGCTCTCTGAGGTAGGCTGGCCATGAGTCAATTCATGCTTTTTCTCCAAAGTACAATGGATCTGTTTTCTAGTTACACTTTTCCCTCAAGGCGCACCTCAAAAGGGTACAGTGAGCCCTAATGTGATTCTAACATTTTCACTCTAAATAGAGATTTTAAGCACTGTTCAGAAGAAAAGATGTTCCGTGCAGACCAAGTATCTTAAGGGGAGGGCGAATCAATCCATTCTTTGATTAATTTCCCAGATGCCTGCCCATAATCTCAAGTAATTTGAGTAACTTCACCCACATGCATCCTTCTCAAATGGGCCATATAAAACTTCGAGAACTGAATTCTCAGTACAGCTCAGCTGCACAGTCTTGTCCAGAATGCTTCAGTAGCCATGAAGGAATAAGTACAGCTCTAGCCTTGAAATCTACAAGTGACAGTCAGTGAGTAATTTCTAAGAGGCAGTGTATGGGCAAATTTTGCTTTGGGCAAATCTCTGGGAAATGACTCAAAATCTCAGCAGTCAGTCAAGTACCTCAATACATATTGCAAGAAAATAAATTATCTACTTGGACAAATGGTAATGAAGAATGCTGTTATTTCCAATTCAGAAAGAGCAGAAACTGTCCAAAATGTTTAGTTCTCTTCTTCTAAAAGGTTCTGACTTTCAAAGTATAAAAGGATTCTTTTCATCTTAAAGCCTGAATCCTAGAAAGAAAGGACTGAAAACCAGCTGATTTTGTATGAAGCCTGCATATATCCTTGAGCAAGGGAAACAAATGAGTCCTGGAAGCCCATATTCTACACCAGAGAAATATTTGCTCTTCTCCTAAGAGCCACACCTCACCATCCCCTCTTGGCAGAAAAAACAGTGACCATAAATGCCCTCTTTGAACAAAAAAAGTGGTCAGGTGCACAAAAGGACAACTCAGAGATAAATAAAAGCATATATTTTATTTCTCAATAAGGTGAGAGGCCCCTACTCAGGATGCAAGAAGGTGCAACAATTTGAACCACCCATGACAACACTGAAGAGCCAAGCAGAGGATAGACCAAATGTGTATCAACAGAAATATTTGGCAATTCTGACACCAAGGCAAAACAAATATTTCAGAACCAGTGCTGACCTTACTGTTCTTTTAAAAAGGCAGCCTCAGAATGAGCACTCTTAGAAAATTAATCCTGGAACACAGCAATGTACAGATGGAACATGTGACCAAGATGCAGCCTCCTGAGACAATACAGGATTGGCAACACAGGCTGGCTGCAGGGATTTGACCAGGAAGCAGGCAAACCAATCATTTGGCCTTATTATGAACAGAGTTCCTGGGTCAGGGGAGAGACGTGATGCTTATGCAGGTGATGGGGCTGGGGAATGTGAAAGGTAATGCTTCAAACATTTGAGGTCAGGATAGAAGAAACATGACAGAAAAGAAGAACTAAAGAACAACTAGAAGTGCGCTGCTATCAGCCACCTAACAGGCAAAGGCAGCAGTCCTGCTCCACGTCCAGTCCTGATGGACACCTACATTCACCCCTTGACAGTACTGCTAAAGGAAAGTTTCAAACAAACAAGTCTGTGCAAGGAAGACCCAGTGCTAGGCCAACCAATTTAGCAAAATTGGAAAAAATTGCTGATCATCACAGTTCATAAAACAACAAAAATGTCTTAGTAATAGATGAGTAATAGATGAGTTTACAGACTCAAGCATTTCATTTTATACTATTAATTTTTTTAAGTTTCAAATAGACAGAGACATTTGAAATGCTGCAGAAATACAAGACAAATATGTGTTTTGATGATGTAGTGTTCTGTACAACACACAAAGATGGTTAATCAGCATCAGCTGTAGTTTAATCTGGACCAGAAGAAACAGCTGGATAAATAGAAATAACAGTTCAGTGTGAAACCAAGGAATGAAAACCTGATGGCCTCCTTAGATAATCTGAATCAACACAAAAAATAAGAAATTAGTCTTCTATCTTCCTACTATTAAAGCATCTAAAACCACCATATTAAAGGACAAAGAGAATTGGAAATACAAAAGAATAATAGGGTATTTCTATTAAGTTCTAGATTTACTGGATTAATTTTAATTTTATGACATTGGCAATATTTACTGAAGAAACAGAAATTGTGCAATGGTGAAAACAAGAAACGTGGCAAAGCCTTGGCAGCAACACTTACAGATATTCCAATCTGGTTACTTGCAATTATGCTAACGTGTGTGACAACATCCATTACATTAATTGTTTCAGAAGAGGTGTTTGATGGAAGGACACTGTAGATTATCTTTCTCTGAGTTTCAGACTGTAAAAGAAAACTTGAATGTATAAAGCAACCCTTACCTTCTGGACGGTACTGAGCTACAATAGTCACTGCTTGGCCTGCATTCTTCAGGGCTGCTGCTGCCTGTTCGTGGGTTGCTGCCTTTAGATCTACTCCATTTACCTACAAGTAATAGAAAAAAGCTCTTTATCAAAATTAATGTTTGTGTTTATCACCACAGAACACACACCTGTGGAAAAAATTTAACTGGATACAAACTAGTTTCCATGCCATATGTATTTCCCCTGTTCCCAATATTGTTCCTGAAATCAAGTCAATAAAATCCTCTCACCCCTCTTAAGAATTACTGACACTATCATAGTCTATCACTCAGTGAATGACAGAGTTTCTTCTTGTTTAAGAGTGTTTGCTTTCTTTTTAAGAAGGCACTGAGAATGTTATTTTTTGTGATGGTTCAGGCACCTTCTTAGCCAAATAATGCCTACAGACCATGTCACCACATCCAATAACAGACAGCACCCTGTGTGAATCTGGCATTGTTTTCAATGCAGCAGATTTAAAAATAGCATCACAGAAAAACTGAAGCAGAAATGTGCGTTCCACATTTTACACCAAAAGTAGTTTTCACAGTCCAAACTAAAATAAATATGTGCTTTAATATCAGTTTTACTAACAGCTGTTAAAAGGACATAATTCCTCTTAAATAACTTCCAAACTACAATATAATTGTCCCAAATAATTGACTCTCTATAAACTAAGCAATTTCACAAAGAAACACATAACCAAATAATTGACTCTCTATAAACTAAGCAATTTCACAAAGAAACACATAACATATTTATGACCTTCAATACTAATACAATAAAAGCCCTTAGAGAGGTATGAGATGGAAGTTCAGCAGTTACTCCAGGAACTAACGACCCAGTTTTAGACACTGATGCCAAGGGTCTCCATCTCATTAGAAGGTTTATTTCTGAAACCTGTATTCTTCCCATTTAGACACACACAGCCTCTGCTACCAGACAAAGATAAGTTAATGTCTTCACTGAACATCTCAGAGAGGGAAGTGCTATTTTAATCACTTTATAAATGAGAAACCGAGGCAGACTGAAGTCCTCAAAGATACTTTGGAAATATATTAGCATCTATTCCATTATCTCAAATTTAGCTCAATTAATAACATTCTTTGTATATCATTAATTTGCATTAATACACAGGGATAGGGAAACTTTTATTGCTGTTTAAATAAAAGAAGCAAGGAATCCTACAGAAATTATCCGATCTCCTTTCCTAAGTTCTCCACTCAGGTCAGCTGGCCCTCCTGCAAGGATGAAAGAGATGAAAATTCCTTCTCCATCTTCTCCTCCAACAATGTTGAAACCAAGACCTGTTGATCCTCGATGTAGGACGACCTTTCTAGGCTCCCTGAAGGAAAAGAAAGGAATATGAAATCTTGGTCACTAGATAAGAGTAAAAGTAAAATAAAAAAATAGGAAAGTTTCTAGATGCAAAACAAAATCCCCTCCCTGTTGTTAGCTGAACTGAACAAATCTGTATGTATGTATGTATGTATGTATAAGTAAATAAATTCCTATTATGCTACAATACTATTCAGCACTAAATGTCATTACTTAATATTTTCCACATTGTTCAAGAACATCAGTGTAGATCATGACACTCTCAAATACATTTTCAATTCCAGCAAAGCGACTGCAATTGAAGAAGTTAAACTAAACCAAGTGGTTGCACTTTTTCATAGGATCTTCTCCTCACTTGAATGAGGGGAGGAAAGAAGAAATATTGATAAGACCAGTCAAATTCTGATGCAGAATGACTCCTTCCAAAAATCTATTATCTGCTACTCGATTTAATACAAGTAAGTATGTATTAAATATGTTTAATACAAGTAAAAATGATCTCAGAAAAAGACATTTCTAATAAAGCAGAGAAACTGTGCACTGCATTTCAAAAATCACTAGAGAGCACTAAAGAACAATTAATGGACATTAAGTATTTGGAGGCATTAATTATTAATTTACAGGATAAAGAAAGAAGCTGCTTTTTTTCCAAAACAAAAAGTATCATCTAGTCCAATCTTTAAAAATCACTTAATTTTTGCACTAGCTATTAAGTCATCTTAGGGCAAATTCTTAAATTTCACCTCCATTAACTATTATATTCATTTTTTCAGAGTACTATTCTATTTCAAATAAATGACATTTTGAAAATCTCTGTACATATTACTCTGTATCACAGCAATACATTAAAAAAAAACAGAAGAGAGAACAGAAAGATGTAGTATCTTTTAAAATAACACTCAAAATTTTTAAACCTCTTTTTGGGATGGAGAGATTTTAATATGAGAAGGTAATTTAAAGAAAAACTAAATATTTTCTGAACAGCCCTTGCATTTCAAAAGAAATCTAAAAACAGCCTTTTTAAAATAATTTTAAAGGAAAGCAATAAAAATGTAATTATATCAAGAGGACAAAATCATTTTGGCTTATATGACTAACTAGCCCTAAGTTAAAAATCAGTACAAAGACATATCCTACCTTCCACTACACTAAAATCAATTCTCCAGTTTATTATGCCACTTAGGTTTCAATCCTGGGTGGACCCTGCCTTGGAATCTGAGTGACATTATCCATATCAGGTGATGGTATGATGGTGACAGAATTCAGCAGCAGCATACTGAAAGTGCAGTATAACATCCCTATACTTGCAGAACAGAAGGGCAACAAAATTACAAGAGCTTCCCTTTATCAGCAATGATGAGCAAAAGATTAATGCAATCTACTGAATCATTGAAGGAATGAAAGGTCTGTTAATGGGAAAGGATTAAGAGCTCTCCAGTGTTTCTGGATTTAGAATCCATCAAAACAAACCCTTGTCTGTGGGGGCAGGGAGGACTCAAACATTGCTTGCTTTAAAAAAAGAAATAATCTCTGGTCTGTTCATACTACCATCCTGAAAATCTTTTGCCAATGCCTGCAGCATTCCCAGGGCTTTCTGATTTTAAAAGCTGTTCCTGGACTGATAAATAGTGTGTGTGTATAAATACATAAAATATACCTAATTTTCTCCTTACAACAATGTTTACAAGAGTTAAAAAACTATTTCTTGAAAAGAAACACAGCATTCACTAGTATTTTGCACGCTAACACATCTTGGAGCTTCCCTGGTTAATCAATTTGACACTTAGCTTTGATTATTCATTACCTGGTAATCTCATCATCTCCAAGCATTCCCTTGGGAACTGGTGAATACCGCCCTGGTGATGCTGGAGGCAGGGACTGTCCCAGGTAGGCAGATGGAGTGATATGGTTATCCACTGGCTGAGAATAAGCTTCACAGAGGCAGAAGGAAAACAATAGAAGACATAAGGATAATACCAAAAAAGAGCTGAAGGAACTGAAACAAAGAAGTGACTTCTTTTAAAACAAACTATAGCAGTTTAAATGATATATTATAAATATCATGGCTCTAAAGTAGTGTGTTAAATCTGTACACTCCCCAATCTCCTCCCTATGTCAGCAAGCAAATTTTTCAGTTGCATTGTGTCTCAAATAAAACTTTTTTAGAAACAGTTACTATGGATAGTTGAACCCAGGGGAACAGTCTGGAAAATTTATCTGTTCTAATGCTGTTTTTAACTTGACCAAAGCAAAGTTTTAACTGAACCACAACACATATACCAGAAGAAATTTAGCATCTTAATGATTACAATTGATGGAAAATATTCTACAACACCAAGAGAATTATTATAATAAATAATTAAGAAGGTGCATGATATTTCCAAGTTAGGCACATCAATTTTAAGTGCTCATTAAAGCACAGTCATACCCACTGTTTCTATTACTAAGTATGCTCTTCAACGGGAAATGTTTTGTTTTTTTCCTGGTGTATGTGATTCGAACTTTGAGGCTTAAACATGAAGGGCAGGGGCTTTTCACAAATTCAGAATTATTGAAGTTGCCAGACCCTTTGTCCTCACTTGATGTATCTGATGGGGTAGCTAACCTTCAAGGATTTACATTAAGCCCAAAGCTCTTTAGCTGAACATGACACAGACTTCTGAAGTAATCTGTATATTCTCCTTTTGTTTTTTTTCTTTTTAAACCACTATCAAAAAGTTTGAATCATTTACAAACTTATCAAGAGTATTCTTGATACATACATACATATATACATATATATATACACACACACACACACACACACAATGTATTTGCTAAATAGCTGTCTTTCAAACCACCCAGTCTGGGCTGGATTGTGCCTGTATTGTTCTAGATTCCTAGAAAACCTGTGTGCAGTAAATTCTTTACATTGCATATGCATCAGGCCAACACTGTCAGCATTTCAGCAAGCATTAAAATCCGCTGTTAACAGCTTCTGCAGTTTAAAAGCACTGGCTGATACACGAATTGTGCTACTCAGACACACCAGCCCTCAGCTGCATGAGAATGTGCAAAACTTCTGAGAATCATAATTCTGGATACACAAGAGGCTTCAGCAAAATTCAGAACGGAAGTGCAAGAGGTACCTGGTGCCCTTCTATATAACAAAGTCAGAAGGAAGCTCCCTCATGTTGCTTGGCTTCATGAGGTCTAAAGCAAAGAGAATGCTGCTTTTGCTAAAACCAAAGAGTCAACATAAGCATTCACATTAGAGAATTTCCTAAAAATTAGGAGCTGTTCAACATATGTGATTCCTAATACAGTTTTTTGGAACAGCAGTAACACATTGCACCTTCATCTTTGTACTCCCTGCAAGGATTTTATACATCCCACTTCCTTCTGTCTGTCCCAGTACAATACATGGTTTGTGTGTAATGGTAAGAGATTTGGACACCTAACTTTCAATTTTCAAAACTTAGGGCTTTATTAGTCACACTGGAATTTTAGCAGCAGATTTTCACAATGATTACCAAACCATATTGCAATATTTGCATTTCAGTTTAAAAAAAAAAGTTTTTTAATGCAACATTATTATTGCATATATTGTATGCATTTTTTGCTTAAAACAAAACCACACATAAATAGTTATTTTGTTTTTGCTCAGAAAGTTTTAAAGTTAAAGCACAAAAAATTAAATGCAAGACATTTTGAGCTCTTTTCCAACTACAGAAAAATGGGTGTTGATTAAAAAACCTGAACAACTGTTGCACAGTATAGCAGCTCTGTACATTCTGTTCCTGCACTAAATTATCTCATTCCACAAAATGAATTTGAAATTTCTTTTAACAAGCCATAATGTAGTCATAATGATGCATATTTTATAGGAAGTAATTAGATACAAATTCTATATTCATTGACTTGCAGTACTTCTCATTTGATTGTTTTTCATGTTCCTGAAGCTTTTAACTGCCCTGTGTATTCAGAAACATACACACCACCTATTACATGACCTTATTTTTAAAATTTTTTTATCCTTTCACCACGCAACTAAAAGTCAGCCATCAATCAATATAACAGTTTCATTTTGTTTATTTCAGACCTGTGTACTGCTCCACAACATCACTGGCTGCATCCTTTGCAAAGTTTTACATATACTACTTACTTGGAACAGCCTGGTCCTTTCTCAAGGCCGCTGTTCTCAGTGCTACAAAAAGAAACCTATACAAGGCACAAAGAGGCTGCTCTCTGTGGAGCTCCTGCACAAACCCATGCACCTTTTCTGAAACTATTTCAGATGGAAATTGTACCTGAAGCATATTCATGAGGAATATGACAGAAATAAAAAGCAAGCCATCACTTTTTGAATCCTAAATGAGGTCTAAACTTCTATTTCCAGGTAAATATTATTACTGATGGAACTGATAAAGAAACTGTCTTTTGAATGAACAGAAAATTGCATGCATAAAATCAACTTGCTTTGACAGGAAAAGTCAGACTCTTAAGAAGAAATTCCATTTCCAAATCCACCCTTTTACATAATACAGTTCTAGACAAAAAGAAAAAATGGAAGATTTCCTATTATTTTCCTATTATCTGTAAACTGAGGACACCAATCAGAAGTACAATCTCTAAAATGGGCAATAAAATTAAAACTTTATTGTCTTTGACAGTTATTACATATTCTTCTCTTCCTGTACTTAGAGCATTTAAGAAATAATAAGGCATCCATGTCTAGTGAAGAAACAGATTATTCTCTACCTTCCAGTATTTTATTTCTCAATGCAGGGTTGAAATACTGTATCAAGGCACAAACAAAAAAACAAAACAAAACGGAAAAAATACTTTCCAAATTAATTAGGAGTCAAAAATGCATCACTGATAATACCTTCAAAGGAGGCCTGTATTGGCAGCAAGTCCTCTCTCTCCAAAACCATTTAGCCACTTTTTTGACTTTGATATTCTACTACTATGCACTTCACAGGTAATGTTGGTGTTTTAAACAGCAAGTACTACACCTTTTTAGTAATATTTCAACTGAATAACTTTAAAAGCATTTATATGAACAAATTACAGGATATGTGTTCTAGGAACCATTTAATGACCACCATTTATGTACAGATGAGGGAAGCAGTTTACACTCCTGCTGACACATGACCCCTCCCGCAGGCCAACAGCTGTGATTATCACACACACATCAGCTGAGCCCCAATGCTCTGCCACAGAACCATCCCACCCACAGTGCTGTTGTTCCTCTGCACACAATAAACAAGGGGGAACTTCTGTTGCATTTCCGTATTTTCTATACTGGAAGTCCTAATTTTTCAGCCTGACAGAGAGTGGAGAACAGCACTCAGAGGGCAATGTGCTCAGAAAGAACAATCCTTCCTAATTGCATTTTTCTTGAGTCAGAAAATGCAGAGCACTGTAAAGTAACTGCTTACCCTGGCAATCCACCTCAAGAGCTAAAACATAAATCTCAAAGGAGCAATAGAAACAGGCATAGCAATCAACTATTCCAGGTCTATGGCCAAGCCTTCATTGCCCATGCACATCGCAGTCTCTAGAGCAACAGCACACAATCTTAAGCTTTTTTTTCCACATTCATTCCTTTCTGAATCTCTGGTCTCAAACAGCTCCAAATCTTCTCTAACAAGATTTTCAATGGTAACTTAACTTCCCCCACAGGCAGCTGGAAGCCATTCATTCACTGATAAATATCAAAAGACAGATGTCAATTTTCAGCCCCAGATGCACAATGTTGGCACAACATCTGTACTCTTCCCAATAAATACTGCCATAAATTAGAATCTCAGAAATCTCTTGATCAAATATTCCTTGTTTCTAAGGCACTAACCCTAAGGAAATATCAAATGATTTAATTATCTATATGGATACTAACCTATTTGGGCCTTTCATTTGAGCCATCAGACCACCTGACAAGGCCACACTATTGTGTAGCTGATACTCTTACTACAGGAGTTTTAAAAGAAATCAGATTTTGCACAAAACCTAGATCTTGAAAATTGTTCTCAAACAGTTCTTCAGTATCCTTAGCTCTGCATTTTAAATCCTCGTGACCAGGGCAAGTGGGGCAGCCCTATAACTAAAAAAGTTCTAAAGGGAAAATCTTAAAGACAAACCAAATTCTGAATTTGGACTTTTGAATTAACTACCATGTCCACACAAGTTAGCACAGTGAGCAATCTCCTGCATGTTCTGCACAGTACCAAGTACTGTGCTCTGTGCTTTTAGATATTTCTGATAAAATGAGAATTAAAAAAACCAAACAAAAAAACACACAGAAATACAGAAATTAAATAAAATAAGCAAACAAAAAGCCCTCCCAAGGGGGTTCTATAAGTTAGCAGTTCACATATAAACTCAAGTAGTAAAGTTTCTACCTTAACATAGTTTGTAATAGCCACGTACACAGAGAGCCTCTGTGCACACCTTACTTCTCCTTTATGGTAGGACTGAACTCCTAAGCACCTGGCTAAAAGGATTCTCATGGACAGAAATAGGATGGGGATGCAAATGCATGTCTCAAAATGAGCTGCAGATGAGTAGGTGAAGAAAAAGCCTGGTAACTGTTTCAACACTGACTGACAATCCAGGTGATCCTAGAAAATACCTCTTAAATATCTGCCATCTGGTAAAAGCACTTCAGAATCCCCAATCTAAAGCTCTTTAGCCCTGTACTGCTCTGCAAAATGCAGTATAAAAGACTACATACAGGTGCACCATTTTTTGGTAAGAGATCTATCTAACTGAGCAGCTTCTTGCAGAAAGCAGAGGCTTTCTGGTTGCAAAGTTATCGTATCATTTATAAAGCAGAATCAGCCTTTGAGGAGATTGATGTCTCCCTTTGAGATTTACTTTGTAAATGTGCAAAAGCTGAGAGGTATTGGAAAAGCTTTTGCTCTGCCCTGTATTGGAAAAATAGCATTTAGCAGCTCAGACACATGCAGTTGTTTTTCATAAGTGAAAGATTGAGACGAAACTGATTACCTAGAATTAAGTCATTAAACACCTCAGCAAGACCTTTAGGTCTGATTTGGGTTCAAAATTCCAGCAGTAAGTTCAGTCTCTGCATCAGCTGCAGTAACAGCCCCCTGCACTTTGATCAACAGAGACACAAGCTCATGACGCCTTGGGCAGAAAAGGCTTTCCTGTTGTAACAAGAAGAAACAGACTAAAGTTTCATCAAAGAACCCAGCACTGTGCAGAGAAATCTTTGGTCTACCAGAAACAGTGAAAAACAGAGTATCCTCAGAAAGAGAACTCAAGGGAAGTGTAGCTAAATGAAATAAAACTCAGAAAATCTACGCAAAAGTACAGACATCCCACAAACCTTGTCAAGGGCCACTAAAGGACAAAGACAAACAAGATGCCTGGAATCTGAGAAAAACTTCCATGACTTTTTTCAGAATGCTTGAGTAGGAGGAGAAAGGTTCCCAGAAGCAGCTGCTGGCACCTGAAGTATATGACAAGGAGACTGGCTTTTCACTTCTCAGCAAAAGGATAGAAGTGACACTTCCCACAAAGAATAGGATACTGGGCTGCACAGAATGCCACCATCTCTCAAATCACCCTTGGAGAGCAAACAGAGGAAAACTCTGGAAGGAGGATGGTAATGGGACAAAAGGAGCCTACACATGTGACCAGGCCAGTAATGGATGTGACACAAAAGTCATACTTACTGAGAAATTAAGGACAACAACCAACAGCCACCTTTGCCAGTGTCACTGATTTATTAGCACTGGGCAAATTACCAGGAATCAGCTCCTTCTCTGCCTCCTTCCCCTCAAACCAGTTTCACCTTTATTCTCACAAAAGGTTAACAAAGTAAATATTCCAATGATTGAGTCAAGGTGGAGTAGTAAGAGATGAGATACCTCAATGTTTGTCACATTCCAATCTACAGCAGTGTAACTGCATTACTGCAACATTACCAGGAAAACTGTAAACAATAAGATTTCACTGTTCCAAAGAATATGAATTCCAGGTGAAATATATGAAAACACGAGTTATATGGAGAGAGAACAGGAAGACTACTTTCCAAGGAAACTGGGAAAGTTTATTGAACAAACTAGATACAGTAAGGGAAAATGACTGCTCTCTAACCATAATATATATGAGTAGAAAACTAGGGAACAGTCAGTGGAGGCTGAAAATTAGATATGTCAAAGAATAGAGCCTTCAAGAGCATCCTTATAATAACACAGTGGAGATAAAGCCTAATTAGTGTCAAATTGTAACTCAATAAGCTTACAAGTAGATTTTAAGATACTATAGCTATTGCCAAAAACTGATGGGCTTATAAGGTATTTCAGTCTCTGTTGTGCTGCACTTTTGTTTGTTGGTCTTTGCATACTGTTTTCAATTACATCTTTCAGTCCTCAGCTCCTTTTTTTCATATGAAGTAGTACCTAAACAGAGCAGTGCTACATATCAATTGCACATATCTAATGGCAGCAAACAAAGCAATACCTAAAATAACTTTCCCCTAGAACCATTTCATGTGATGACATGAGTACAACTGGTCATCCAGAAAAGTCAGTCTATTCAGTCTTGGAAAGATACAGTTATATCATTCTCTTCCCTTTCTCCAACTACTAAATGATAATAACCCTCTTGAAGTATACTCAGCTCAAATATTTCTTTACATTGTAGTTCAGCCCTGAACTTTCTGGATTTGTATTTGACTTTGAAAAAAACACCTGGAGCCCCACTGCTGCTGTCTTTTCAGTATACAAGTTATAGGATGTTGTTCTGTATAGTATACAGTTTTCCTCTTTAATCAACTTAGATCAGATTTTGGCCTCTTATAATTTCTAAAGGCTTGCAACAATTCAAATACTAAGCCTTAAAGGGAAAGTTAATTAAATCAGAAAGATAAGATGAACTTACAGTTTGTGATGTCAGGAGGGGCATAACTGTCATTCATGAACACGCTGGTGGGTTTTGCAACCTTCAGATAAACAAAGTCAGATGTGTTTTTTAAGGCAGTCACTGCTTCTTCATGAGTAACTTCTTCTAAGCAAACACTGTTGACCTGAAGCGAAAAATAAACATTGTCAGCCCAGAAAAATGTACTGTTTTCATAGGACTCACTGATGGCTGTTGAAACACTGTCATTGAGAGTAGTTATTAGGATTCACATGCCATAACTGGTTACATAAATTTATATAAGAGATGCTTTGTTAAGTATGAGAAAGACAAATATTCCTATGAAAGATTATAATAAACTGTATTGACCACAACATTGTAAAGAAGGCACACATGACTTTGGGGAGCTAATGGGATAAATAGGGCACTCAAAGTGTTCAAGTGTGCACACTTACACAGTGTGTTACTGAAAACATTACATAGAGAAAAGTTTCTTCTAATAAGAATAAATCCCACATCATCCTGTCATGACATAATTATGTTCCAGGCCTTATAATGGGACAATATATTCTGGCACAATGTCAAAAAGCTGGGCTCAAAACTTGAGAAGGTCCCAGAATAACTGATTTACATGCCAAGTAACAAGAACTAGTTCAACTACAAACAGCTATTTTAAGCTATTGCTATTAGAGTGAAACACTTGCACTTCCATTAAAAAAAAATCCCTTAACAATTACTATATCATCAATTGGTGAATTGAGTTGTTGACCCTCTTTTATTGTGAAAGGGAAGAAACTTCTGCAGATAATTCCAGGCAACACAGAAAATAAAGCTTGTATTGCACTGAACCCAAGGAGCTACAAACACTATCATCATTTAACTTCATAATCTGTAAGAACAACTGGGCTTTGCCAATTGTTAGCTGTGGGGGGAAAACTCTATTCCTTAAATATATTCCTTGCATCTGTATTCTCTAAGTATCCTACTAGTTTTCTAAAAGCCTTTTGTTGATGTCTTTGTAATAGATTTTAATTCCTACCACTCTTGAAGACTGAAAAGTCATTTTGCAGTATTTGGTGATTGAGTGCAACCTAAACACAGAGACAGAAAGGTACATTCTGCAATGTATGGCTGTGTATCTCTACCTTAGTGACTAAACCTTTTACTAAGTGAAATTCAGCTAACCAGAAGATCATAGAATGGACTGGGATTCCTTAAAGATTTCCTTATCTTTTCTGATGTAAGCAAGTTAGCATGGAAAATTTTTGTATAGGTGACAAATTATAACACTGGAAAGCAATTCATCATTAAAAGGAAGTTTTCCAGTGCCTTTGCATTCTGTGAAAGTCCTATAAACAAAAACACTTTGTACGATGAAGACTGTAAAACTAAAAACTATGAAATATGAACAGCATTACCATCAAGCAGTTGGATCTTCAGGTTTGGGAACCTGTATGGCATATGAAGACAAATATTTATTGTGCAGCTAGGAGTAAGCATATTCATTCCCTTTTTTCCTCCCAGTTCTCAGGTAAGGATTTGCACCTGTCTTGAGCTGATTGCACAGAACTATCCATTGTAACATCAAGACATCATTCCGCATATTTAAAAAAGACCAGGATTCTTCATATACAGGGATAATTCCAGTATTCTTTAAGTGCCTTCATATTTCCCCAGCTCTGTTTTAAGTGACAAAATTATCCAAAAAGTCTTTTTACAGATGGCAAACTCTGCACTAAACATTTAGAGTTAGTTTTTACCATTTGTAAGAGCAGTAAAACACATGTTCTGCTGTTCCGTACTGTGAGTACTGATGTATCCAGAGCTCTTACAGAAGCAAATACCGCTAGAGGAAGGAGTGCAGAGCAATTAACCTTACAAGAGTTAATTCAGAAATACACTCAGAAATTTCTGGCTGTGGCTCTCATTTTTCTACCCGGACAAAAAATTTATGGATTGACTTTAAGAAAGTTGAAAGTTATTTTTACTTTGTGCATAGAAAATGCAACTTGGAAGCTATTTTAAGCTTTTTAAAAAATAAGAACGCCATTCAAAAGCATTACAAACACTGAAATGCAATATAAGCAGCAGTTGCACTAGCTAAAGGCTGGCCAGCCACCTTGGCTGGAACAAGGAGTTCCATTCCATTCTTCTCTTTTGAGAAGAGAAACAATCCCATTATATGTTTGTTTACAATTCTGTCACTCAGATCCCAGAAAAATAATAGCAAGCATCAGAAATAAACATGCTGATTTATACAGGTTTTGCATGGAACATTGGGCTGAGGAATAGATTTCAGATTTCCTGATGAGATGGTGTTGAATGATGCAGATTTAATTTTATCACTGATTTCCAGGCAGCTTAACCACAAATTGAATCACGCCCTTGTTTGAGCCTAAAAGTGAATGACCATTAAGAAAATGCAGCTCTTACTTACTGCTAAAAGTTTGTCTCCAATCTGAAGTTTGCCATCTTTATGTGCTGCCCCACCTTCGATGATTTTGGTTACATAAATGCTGTTGTCCCCAGGTATATGCTGATTTCCTACACCACCAGCAATACTGAAGCCAAGACCTGCTTAAAGATAAAGACATTACTCAAGAAACCTTTTTTGCATTCATTGGATTTAAATTCTTACATAAATAATAACACTCCTTGTATGACACAAATATATATAATATCAGGGCCTGGCTGAAGTAATTCTGATGCTTTTTCAAGTGAACTCCATGATCTTCTAGACAATAAAGCTCTAGAAAAGATGTAACATGCGCACAAGTTCTGAAAACCAAAAGCTAGATCATTTACTTCATGCTTTGTGAAGTATGGGAACAGCAGAGTCAGAAGTATTACCATGCTATAGCATCTATATATTTATAGACATACTGTCCTGTAATTACTTGCCTGAAATTATCTCTCAAGCATCCTTACTAGGTAATCCAATTAAATATTTTACTCCAATTTTAACGTACTTAAAAATTACTAGATACAATCAGAAACATTTTTATCTTTTAAAAGAAAACTTTGCATTCTACAATAACAATTACAATTCTATCCTTCTTATGAAACACAAACTTTTTATTTCCAACGTACCTTTGGGGCCTTTCACAAGTTTGATTTCCACTATTTTTTCTGTGACTGGTTTTCTTCTTTTGACATACAATCGTACAATTGATCCCGCTTCTTTCAATGCTTCCACTGCTTTGCTGTGTGTCACATCCCGAACATCCACCTCATTTACCCGTAGGATACAATCGTTAACCCTGGAGACAGCAACAATCATGCTCAGCTGCTGTTTTACAGCAGAGTGCACACATTAGGAGCCTAATGTTTTATCTATAATACATTAACATACATGTTAAGACATTACAATACGGAGATTTATCTCCAAAATTCTACTTATTCAAGACAATACCCTAAAATTAATTATTAGTGCTTAAAAATAAATGAAGGATCACTAGAAGACATTTAAGAGGAATATTTAATTCACAGCTGAAGAGGGCACCTTATTATATGTGCCTCATTTTGAGGGTGTTTTGAACAGATGTTTGTAAAAATTACCTTTTCTTTACAGCTATAAAAAAGAATTTAAAAAATCAAAACCTAGAAGGCACACAATGAAAACACACTAAGTTTTAAGCCATGCTATGAACAAGTCAATCTTGCTTTTCACAAGCAGTTTAAGTGTTGGCCTTCCAGTCCATTTAACATTTTGCTGCAACAACACTGAGCCCTCATTACATGAAGGGCAAAGCCAGGCCCACCTGTCACCATGTCCTGCCAGATGTACCTCTGACAATGTCCAACAAGCTAAAATGAAGCCTTGAAATAAGCTCATTAGGACTAAAACCCATAATACATTAAGCATTTGCACATGAAATGATGGGGAAAGTTTTTGGAAGAAAAAAAAAATAGTTCTACAATCACTGTGGATGGGTATCTTTGAAACATTAAGACACTGAATTATTACCAAGCATAAAAAAAGGTTGTTAATAAATTCAACTACAATGTGGATCCAAAAAATCCCACACATGGATAACCAAGAGTTACCTATCCTATCTGTCTACGCATTTTCTTAAACTAAGGACTATGAAACATATGGCATAATAAGTTTACACCACAGAATAGAAAAAGTTCACTTAATTTTCCTAAACTGCAGATATTAGTTTGGGACATACATATTGATCCACTCAAACATTCTTCATTATTTACAAAACACTTCTGTAAGGAAAACCTATTCAACATTTAATGTGGGAGGATAAAACTATTAAAAGTAACAGAAAATTTTCTATCTACTTTTTGAAATACAGTAACAGCACTTAGTAACCCAACACAGAAATTCATCCTACCGTAGTCTTCCATCCTGTGCAGCTGCACCGCCGGCTATAATTTTTGTAATGAAAATACTTGCATCATCCCCAATATGTGGGTTGTCTGTACCACCTGCAATGCTAAAGCCAAGTCCTGAATTTCCCTAAAGATAGAGGGGGAAAAATTTTACACATTTATTTTTTGAGGAAAAGGTATTCTGGTGTATTTGATACACCATAGAACCAAATCTACATAATTTTCAATGCTAACAAAAATATTCAGAGACAGTTTAAGCAGTATGCTACATATATCTTCTATGAAAATGAGTAAAATTACATCTTACATACAAGTAAGAACTTAAGTCACTATGTAATTGTAACAGAGAGTTCCAGCCCCACAGCTTTCTCATTCAATTTGATAAACTACATAAATTCTTCTATCTCTAGTGTGCTAGATATTTCAGATTATTCATACAAATATTTGCTCCTCATTAAATTATTAGAGACACATTATTTTTCCCAAATGAAACCCTTTAAACAGCTTGTGTCCCACCTCTAATATATTCCCACAGATGCAGATTCAGACTGACATTTTTCTCTTCAAGGATGTCTTGCCCCTACCATCAACTGCAAGACCTCTTCACCCTCTCAGTAACCACCAGAACTGCATTGGTATTAGATATGATAATTTCTTCCTGTCTTATTGTTAACAGTGCACCTTAAGTGAACCAAGCTAGAGCTCAATGTAGAAAACCTAACAAAGAAATGCACGTGACATAGTGCCACTTGTAATCTCAAAATAAAACTTAATGGTATATAATAAAAGCCCATGGAAAAATAGCAATACAGGAGATTAAATCAGAATCTGTATTTTTAGTGTCTACAAGTCTAGGTAGCAACATTAAAAGCAGGATGTCTTAGAGGAGATCATTCCCCCATTTTACTCTCAATGGTCAAGAATATTAATAAAACTTTCAATTCCTGCTTAGCAACTGAATATAATTTTTTTTTTCATTAGGTTAAATAATCTCCCTAAAATACAAAAGAGTAACAATTGGTTTGGATTGCTATTTTTCATATTAAAGTGTCATAAATCCCATCTCAAACAGAGTATAGAGGACATTTAGCATGTTACCCTTTCAAGAGTAATTTCTTCATACTCATAATCTGCATCCGTGCCATTGACCTATAAAAAAAAGAGAAGTGAGGCTTCCAGAGAATACTACACTTAACACAACCCAGTTTGCTTGGCTAGCAGTTCACTGCCATCAAATCTCAGCTGATCCACAGTGACCACTGGGCTCAGAGGGCACACATGATTTTCACACCACTCTGTATTTATGAATCAGACAATCTTTAAAAGTTGCCTGTTCAGAGAGCAGACTGCTCTACACAACTAGTGTTAGGCACAGGCCCTCTGTTTCTGATTGGCTGAAAGAAAAAATGCACTTGAGATTCTCAGATGTTCCTCAGGCTATACAGCAATATGAAACTGAGAAAAAAGAAAGAGGATGTGGAGTAAAGAATTGTAAGGAAGAACAGAACAACATTTTCCTATTGTTGTTCCACACTGAGCAGAGAAAAATCAAAGACTGATGCCTTATATCACCTTCTCATAAGAAATGGGTAAGACCCTCCTAAAGTAAGATTTAACAACTGTTTATGCTACTATTTATCATGTTACATACAAATATAAAAAGTTAAGCATTTTAAGATAGGGACAAAAAGAGGAGAAGAGTTTAGAAGAACACTTTATAAAGCTTGATAAAAAATTGAAATCCTAGAAAGAAGCCTTGTCATCCTCTGGTTAAAAGGATATCCACATTCTTTGCTACCTACAGAACAAGAATCAAGGAAAGAATCAAATACCAGAAGCAAAAAAAATAATCAGAATTAAGCAAAATTAATTAAATAACAAATTCTTATTCAAATTTAATATTCAAGAGTAAGCTTTTTTACAAGATACCTTGGAACTCAAATTCTTTCCTCCACAGTTACCTACAGTAGCTACAGACAACTCCTTATTTCTAGCCTTTTAGGATGAAATATTTAACAAGGTAAGAAATAACATTTATACTATTATTTTACAAAGGATTTTTTCTATTCTTAAGATACAGAATATCTGATAAGACTTCTGTAGTCTTAACACACTAAAGATAAAAAACACGTATAGAAAATAGCATTTTAAAATCTGACCATTTTCTAGCAGAGAATTTAAAAAGGGAGTTTAATTCACCACAAGTAAAATTAAGATCAAGCTATTTCCTTCCTCCTATGTTTATTTAATATATTTAAATGCTCCAGAAGCTGGCAATGCCATTACTTTTGCAGGCTGTCTAATATCAAGCTCTTTTATCCCTCACTCTCTAATTATATCTCCCCTTAATATAATAGAAGCTATATCCATTCCACACATAACAGATGATCATCTTTGAAAAGTATCTCAAAAATGATTATGTCCTTAGCAGTTTGTTCAGTGGAAAAGATACGGTGGTTTTAACACATGATATTTCTCTTTTAAAAAGGGATAAGGTCCTGACCTTCTGAATACTCGAAACTGGATCTATTGCTACACCAACACAAAAGAAGCCACTGTGATCAGGTAGTTTTTATGGTAGCTTAGTCCTTGGGCTGTTATCTACAGGAATGACAACATGTGCTAATTGAAGCAGTCACCCAGCATTACAGTACCTGCAAAAGGTTCATGATGATTGATCAGTGTGCAGCACTCTTTTCTTTTTTATTAAATGAATAACAATGTTGATTAATCATTTCCCTATTCACTGCCATTACACAAAACAAAGCTGGTCCTAATATATTTAAGCAGTCTCTTATTTCAATGTACAAAGCTCTGTAATCCAATTTAAAATATCATCTAGATAAACAGGAGCGAACAAAAACCTCCATAACTTTTATCTTCTCCTTTAGCTCAGTTCTATACTCTCTCTCTTTTTTTGAAAAATTACCTTTGAATTTATTCATCTCACAAACCAAACATTAGCAGAGACAAGGATATATTATCTGATAAAAATCACTGACGTAGTCTATCTTTTCCAAGCTTTAAAGGGATCTCAGACCCATGAAGCAAAGCTTTATTTGCAGTCCAGGATGAAGGACTTTCTATATAAATGTTGTAATTATGCCTGACAAATTAAAATCTCAGCCTCCACATAACTACACTTAGTACCTTAATGCTTCAAACAGAACCAACTCCTTTTCATGAACGTTTAGAGCACTAAAACATTAAGTATAGCCACTGCATGAAAAAATGCTTTTATGAGAAGTGCAACGGAAACGGCACATTAAATATTAAAGTATCTGCCTGCGCAGTTGAAGAAACAGATTGTTCTCTGAACACTGAACCTCTAGAACCTCAATTGTGTTTTGCACTGTCACACACTGGTACACAGCAAAATTCCCACCTGCAATCTGCAACATTTGCTTTCATGAAACATTTAAGGAGTTCAAATAACCATCATGAGAGCTGACGAAATCAAGTACCATCAGAGAAATAAAATAGGTCTTCTTAAACAGCAACAACAGGCATACACAACTACATTCATAAAACATGATTTAAAGTTATAATCGAAACCAAGTGTGGACTTACATATGTTGAAGTCTCCAAAGAATCTGTATTCACCAGCACTGGAGGGGGATTTGCCTTTAAAAATTAAGGAAAAAAAATTACACAGCATAAGAAAATGCTATTAATCATAATTTTACAGCATTTAACTTTCTCAAAGTTCTGTTAAAAGGTAGCTTGACCTTGAGAATCTCAAAACTGACATTCTGAAACACTTGCTACTGTACTGGACAAATTGCTTCCCTGACATAAAAAAGACACCATTAGGAAAGTCTGAGATCATATTTAATATCTAAGTTTTGACATTTATTACCTTGTTTTTCAAAAGAAAACCTGAGTCATGCTAGCATTTGGCATGATACCCCAGTACTTGTGGTATGATATGCAGAGGTTATTCCACCACTCAGTATCTCAAAACCAGTTTTTGGTGGATTCGATTTCCCTTTCTTCCCATCAGGAACAGCCACTACCCTCCCTCCACAAACCGCAAAATGGAAACCTGCAGAAATGCATCTTAAGCAAGAAAGGACCTATAAAACTGCCTTGCAAAAGCAAACCCACAGCACACATTCATTTACCATAAAGCAGCACATGCTTCCATCATAAAATTGTTAAGGATTAACAAGCAGCAGTCAGAGATTATTGCCACAGAAAGCTGAAATAATATTAGCATTTTTACAAGCCAGGAACCAGTAGAGTAAGTTTACACTTTTAGTCTCATACCACTGAGAATTTTTCTGTGAAAAATGTGGTTTCAACTGAAAGAAAATCCATAGGAATTGATGGCATTTCTCAGAAATTTTTCTAAATAAAGAGATTTTCCTTTTATCCATCAACTATCTGCCTTTAAAATAGGCAGCTTCTAGTCTGCTCTAGGAACATAAGCAAAACAAACAAAGAGCGTCCAGATATATTCCAGACTCAAAATACTGCTAATTATCAAGTTCGGTGGTGCTAGACAAAGTTAATCTCCTTATTGCTTTAATGAATCTGAGGGGGCTTTTAATACGTATAAAAATTATCTTTAAAATTAAGACATTCCTTTTTAAATCTCCTAGGTGTGTGTGTGTGGAAATAAATTTAGGGATAATTTAATAGGCTGCAAAAAAAAAAAGTATTAAACTCATGCAAAGATAAAGTTAAGAGCTGCAGAAACATGACAATTGCATTAACCTATTCATATTCTTGCATTTTTGTTTCATTACTATGACAGCAACATATTTCTGAACAATTTATGATTTTAAAAGCTCCCAAACCTAGGAAGTGATGACTCAGAAGTGCCTTTCAAAAGACTGAGATGAATAATCTCCCACCATTAGACAGGAGACATCAATCTGCTATCAAGTGTCAGAAATTAAGCCCGTATCATTTTATAAGTACTAAAATCAGGTGGGACCTACACACATTAACAGAGCAGACAATTAAAAGTAAGAGGAAACAAAAAGGATGACACATATGACTGTCAAAATGCCATCAAAAGCCTTTCTCACCCAGCAATTCTCTCAGTAGAAGCATAGGCACACTTCATGCAGTAAAGACATTAAGCACTAGTTATTAATGTTAAGTTAATAAAAACCTCTGTCAAAACAACACTATCCCTCACAACCATTTTCTGCCACTAAGTTAAATTTCCTTTTCTGCTTCTTATTGAAGTGCAGGTTCTATTAAAATACAAGTAAATTAAAAATAAGATCCTATACTAAAAATCCCAATCTATTATTCATCATCATAATTTATTGTTAAGGTTACAGTAAATATAGTTAAACCATATGTTTTTATGGTTTTGCTCAGAAGAAAGCAAGGTTTAATTCCTCAGTCATGTTCTTCTCACTATATTTTGGAATGTATTTTTATTTAATATTAGGATTTTGCAACATCCAATTATATTCAACATACACAGTGCCTATGAAAGCTGGTTCCCCATGATTTTTATTTCTGAGGCAGACAAGTGTTCTTCTTTTCACGTTAAAAAAAAAAAAACCAACAAACTAAAACCAAATTTGCTGTTAGTAGGTGAGGTTTGTTGAACAGAATATTTGAGATACGAATCAGCCAACCAGTGCAAAACCCCTTCTGTAAGTTAAAAGGTTGTTCCTAACACTCCTGCATTCATCCAAACTCTCCATCAAGAAGCAGCAATTACCATCTTTTTCAAAGATGAATGAGAAAAGCTGTGCCAGGCATTCCAAAGGTACTATCTGGACATGGTTGCACAAGCCTGTCCACCTCAAATCTTGATGTGGGCAGAATCCCCCTATTAGAAGGGAGTATTTCTAAAACTAATCAAATTTCTGGTTTTCTTAATGGAAGAAGTGCAGGTGACAGATTAAAATAAACACACATCTACTGGAAATTGCACTATAAAACAGGCAACTGCAAAAATTTTTGCTAATTATGGATTATGTAAAAATCAAAAACTCAGCAAAGACAGATTTTCACCTTCTGCAGTTTAGTCAAGTAGCCTGAAAGTAAAAATTAAAAAGAAAAAATACTGATGTCCATACTACAAAAATTTTCAAGTAATATTCTGGATAGCTTCACTTCCTTTTACAGCTAATAGATATCTGTCACTAAACAATTCCAAAAATTGACCCATCTTTTCAGAAGGTGTTTTTCAGAAGGTGACTCATCATTTCAGAGTTCTGCACTGAAACTTACAGTAAAGTTACAAAAAAATAAAGGTAGAATGATAATCTATTTGCAAGAATGTAACTGCTGTCTGTCCTAGACTGTTCCATAGCTTGCCATGCTACAGTCACATATTCCAAATTACATGGGAGATACTAACATTAACTCATGGTACTGCCTTCACTTCTGTTGACAGGGTTTGATTTTGTTTTGTGGGGCATATGAACATTATGGGACCTAAAGGATGAAGGCTCAAAACGGAAACACATTTTATGAGTCAAATATGTTAGGAATGGAGAGTTAAAAAGATCTCTTTTGTATTCTAAATGCCCCCCAAAACATTAAACCAACAAATGGGTGGAGCACATGAGAAACACCATGCAAGTGCATGAAGAAAGACATGTATTAAGTATTTATAGGAGATGAGAAAACATTTTCTTTATAAATTAAGCAATAATGCCTTAGTAAGGGTGAAATGGCTCTAAAGATATTATGTGAACACAAAATAATATATCGGTTCTTTCCATTAATTTAGTTATTTTTATCTTAAGTCACTTCAATATGAAAATATAAATATTTAAATGTACTAAAAGCTGTCACAAAATGAACAAAAGACACAGTGAAATTCTAATGGATTTAACAGTTCACCTCAAACCTGAGTATGGAGTAGCGAAAGGCATATTTCAACAAAACAACAAAATAAAATAAAGAAATAAAAGTTGAACAAGTTTAATAAAACAAAACAAAACAGAATAAAAACCTGTGGTATGGTGGATGGGATGGTCTCAGCAGGGACTGGTGGGACAGGGATCACAGGGACAATGGGAGAAGAGGAAGGAACAGCTTCTGTGGGCTAAAAATCACCAACAAAATATCAAAAATAAGGAAAACTAGAAACAGTTTTAAACAAACAAGACTCAAATTTAATAGCTTAAAAAACTATGAACTAGCACATGGATTTGGAGACTTAACTACAACACAGACACTCCCCCTGACCCACACTGTTCATGGCAGCACATTGCCAGCACTGCCCTGATGGCAAGGAACCCGAAGTAGCTGGACATGCCCATGTGGGTTATTCACACCAAGGCGCTCCCCCCCTTGCAGCACTGAGACTTTGGGGTCAAACAAAAAAACCTGCTCAGGTCAATGGACAGACTCAGGCTTTTTGTGGGCTGGTTTCACAACAGAATCCAGAAGCAGGGGCTGAAGTTAACAGCACTCAAAGCTAATATTCCTCTCTGATAAAGAGGAAAGATCAGAAGTACCTTATGGTTTCTAAACTTAGCAAAAATCAAAGAAAACCTTTTAGTCGAATGCATGGAAGGTCCTAAAACAGATTCAATTTATTTCTCAAAGATCTTTACATACGTTTACCAAACATCTGCAGACTAGGAGAATTTTGGTCTTAGGAATCTTCATTAAAATAATAACCAGGAAACCTACTGACACTTAAGCTGCAAGGGAATAAGATTCCAAACAGCATTTTGAGCAAAACATTGACTCAAATATTTTTGAGATGTTCACATACTGGTTGTCAACAAGCTGTCAGCAACACAAACTGCTGGCAACTATCATCAGCATTACAAGCTGAACAGCAGATCAAAGCTCTTGCAATTTAGTTGTTCCAAGACATTCTTGTGATTTTGAAAAATAATGAAGCATAATGACTAAAGAAAATATTATATCCCAAAAGTGAACAAAACCCCCCAGAATATAAGTGTATTAGCTTTTTAAAAGTTTGAGATATCTTAAAATACAAAGCAGCATACATCAACAGCAGCCACCAAATTAAAGAGTAATAGGAAATAATACTATTTGCATTAACAGTCCAAGAACAGCAAGACATTAAATGTACATATGGTATTTCAACAGTTTCTACAGCTCAAAGTCAATCCGCTCAAAATAAAAGCTGGTGAAAAACATTGCAATTACAGAAAGATGGAAGAACAAAATATATTTGGTATCTTGAGAGGTAATGCTAATATCATTAAAGCATTCTTACATCTACAGACTAAAGCACAATATTTCAAGTGTTTAAAAAGAGGAAAGTGCGGAGAATCTAAATTTGTTTAGAAAAATATTAATATGCCTTTTGAAAAGGATGCAGGAAATGCTCGGTGCAATAAACCTGTACTTCAAAGAACAACACAGCCTTCAGGTGACAGATCAAAGTAAACAGCTCAAGCAACCACTTGGCCCTACACATGCCAAAAAATGAGGCACATCTTTCAGTCTGCCTTGTTCCAAAGTAAGTAGCTTTCAATGTAGGTACACACTAAAAATCCTATAAGGCAAAATTTCAGATATACTACATACCAAAATACAACACAACACTAAGACTGAACAGCTAAGCATTAGCTTTACAGTTACACTACTGCAGTAAGAGAAGGTTAAAACTCAATTGAATACGTTCTGAGATCCTGACCGTTCACTTCCCTGACTTTCCA